GGGCCGTCCCTGCCCGCCCCGGAGGCAGCCGTCACTCCGGGCCCCGTGCCGGGGGGCCGCGCGCTGGGCTTGGCGGGGGGGCCTCGGGACCCCGGCCGCCGGACCGTCCCTGCACGGGGGCGGGGGGAGCTGCCCTAGAGCGCGGTGGGCGAGCCCCGTGCGGGTGGGGGCTGCGCGCTGCGGCGCGGTGAGCCGTCGGCCGTCCCTGCCCTCTCCTCCATGCAGCCCTCCTGCCTGTCCCAGATTGGGCCGTGCCCTGTGTGACTGGGAGAGCTCCTGGCCCTCTGTGAGCCTCGGTTTCTTCATCCGCAACATTTTACACACGGGGGCGTAGCAGAAGGAATGCGCTGACTCAGGTGTCAGGGGATCTGGGTTTGAATCTCAGCTCCAGGACGTGCGGCTCTGTGGTCTTGGCCGCAGTTTCCCCACCGGTCAAATGGGGCTGATCTGATATATATGATAGGCCCGGAGATATGTCTGTCCATCCGTATCTGGAGGAATGCACCCCAAACGCGGAGTGAGCCACACCTGAGGAGGGGAAAAATAGGCTTTCGCTGTTTTGCTCTATATGCTTATATAGTGTTTGAATTTGTACCCAGAAGCGTTATCTATGTTATTGGCGTAAATAAATAACATATACAAAATGTCTGACATAGAGTACTTAAGCGGTCACTATTAGTTTAAACATTTTATTTGCTATCTACCCATGTATTGTTAGGTCTACCCACTATTTTAAAGCTTTTTTTTTTTTTTCCATTGACTTGTCAATATTTTAAAACCAGATGTTTCATAACTTCTCTTGAAAAACAAAAACATAGAAATAAAAGCTCTAGCAACATTGTCCTGTGTCACCACAAAATCACGGGGTCTCAGGCGCTCCCACCTCATGTTTCTTGAGCACCTGTTTTTTCTTGGTGCCGACACAGAGGGCAGTCTGTGGCCTCAGGGAGTTGGGGCTAGTTGGACACAGCCAACCACCGGGAAGTAAGCACTGAACTCAACAGAAGCCAATGTTAATCTGGAAGAGATGAGGGAAGTGAAAATCTAAAAGCTTTTAAAATGTTAAGAATTGGGGCGCCTGGGTGGCCCTGGCGGTGAGCGTCCGACTTCAGCTCGGGTCATGATCTCGCGGTTCTTGAGTTCCGCCCCGCGTCAGGCTATGTGCTGACAGCTCGGAGCCTGGAGCCTGCTTCTGATTCTGTGTCTCCCTCTCCCTCTGCTCCTGCCCCACTCACACTCTGTCTCTCTCTCAAAAATAAATAAACATTTAAAAAAAATTTTTTTTTAAATGTTAAGAACTGTTTCCTTATTTGGAGTTCAACATGTATGTTTTGTTTTTTCAATAAATCCTTAAGTTCTTTCCAGACAAGGACTATTTAAGCTACTTTGTATCATCTATATTTTTTCATACTTTGTGCTTTTCTTGTATTTGTAGGGTTAAATATTTGAATTGGAATGTTCTAGAACAGACAAATGAGTCCCAGATGCCCAGGCCTGCTCTCCCAACTTTTCCACCTAAGCCCAGAGGCCTACGGGCAGGTAGGTAAGCTGGCTGGGGACCAGAGGCCTCTGTGATTTTGTGGGGATTCAGGACAATGTTGCTAGAGCTTCTGTTTTTGTGTTTTCAGGAGAAGTTGTATCCGGTTTTAAAATATTGACAAGTGACTAAAAAACAATCTCAAGACAGTAAGTATACCCGAGGTGCCTGGGTGGCTCAGTGGGTCTGACTCTTGGTCTTGGCTCAGGTCATGATCTCACAGTTTCGTGAGTTTGAGCCCCTCATCAGGCTCTGTGCTGAGCGGAGCCTGCTTGGGATTCTCTCTCTCCCTCTCTTTCTGCCCCTACCCCACTCATGCTGTCTCTCTCAAAATAAATAAATAAACTTAAAAAAAAAAAAAAAGGGCAGTAAGTACACTCCACAAAACCTATTGATCAGATTTGTCTACAAGCCTCAAGTTTGTGCCTCTCCTTAAAACATCCCTGGCATTGGGGCGCCTGGGTGGCTCAGTTGGTTAAATGTCTGACTTCGGCTTGACTTATGATCTCACAGTTTGTGGGTACAGCATCCAGCCCAGTGTGGGGCTTTGCACTGACAGCTCAGAGCCACTTTGGATTCTGGGCCTCCCTCTCTCTCTCTCTCTCTGCCATTCCCCCACTGGCGCTTGTGCGCTCGCTCTCTCTCTTTCTCTCTCACATACACACAAATAAATAAATAAACGTTAAACCAAACAAAACCATCCTCAGTGTTGGTCTTGTGTCCCTAAAGAGCTTTCGAAGCTAATGGGTTAATGCTGCTGTCCCAGGAGGGCTGGTTTATCTAGGGACTGTTGGTGACAGACAGCCCTAACCCAGAGGCATATTTATAGCCCTGGGTTTGGAGGGGAAGCCCCTTTGCCCAGACCTCAGAGTACAATGCAGGTGATGAAACGCCCAGTCCACAGGGCCAAAGGAAGATATTTTAGGTCAGGGGACCTTTCAGTGACCCTGAGTGACATCCCATCAGCATTCATTTATTTAGGAGGAGGCAAGCTGCCAAACAGGAGGGTGCCACTGAGCACAGCAGAAGGGGAAGGAGCCTGGGAGGAGGGAAAAGGTCTGCCTTTGACATTTGTAACTGCCATGAACTGAAGGTCAGAAATAGTCCCTTCCATTAAGAAGTGGCTGTGGATGAAAGAACTCATAAGATTTATCATTGTCACTTCCTGTGACCTGGTGGTCTGAAAATGTTGTATAAAGGAAAGAATTTCCTATGCCTCGGCAATTTGTGAAGTACCAGCTTAAATTTGCAGACACTGTCTTGAGGATAAAAGGAAGCATTTTTCAAAGGCTATATAATCAGGAGATGTTCACCCAAAAGTATCTCTGAAGACAGGACAGGTAGAAGATGAAGAGGAGGACGAGCTGAGAATTTGTCTGACTTTGAACTTAACACAGTGGCCTGATAATAATATAGCTAACATTACTCTGGACTCAGCAGTGCTTACTTACAGCTGTACTTGCTTACTTACAGCTATACAAGTGCTTACTCTGTGCACAGTCCTCAGCTTAACAGATTTGGAAACAAAGACACAAAGAGAAATGCAGTACTTGGCCCCAGATCTCACAGGTAGAAGCTATTATCTATATATTGTGTGCAAGTGAAATTTTTGAGACATTTAGTTTGTATTGTCATTTTTTTTTTTCTGGTAGTATGTTAAGGGAGTTTTGTGTTGAATTAAGTAACATTTTTAACTACTGTTTCCTGTGAGACACTGTCCCTATCCTAGATAATGCTGATGCTCATACCAGTGTGTACAGGTGGGGCCCAGGAACTAATATGAAACTGTGCCTTTTGGTTTGTGGCAATAGCAACCATTTTCAGAAAGCCTGGTGTTTGCCTTTCTGCCTCTCCGAATCATGGTTTGCTCAACTCCTTTGTTCCAGAAGAACCACTCTTTTCCCAGTCGCTACACACCAGGCTGATCTCCAGCTGTTGGTTCCCAATGTCCTGTCACATTGGTTCACACTGTTTTCTTTCACTGATGCCATTCTTCTGACCATTAGGCTTTGCATTGGCCCAGTGAGCTCACTTCCCACAAGTTATGACAACAGCTTATTGTGATCTGTTTCCTACAAGGAACCTGGAGGGTGGGGATCACTCGGCCACATCTACCTTTGTATTCACCACCTCACCGTGCACATAGTAGGCATTTAATAAATGCTTGTGGGATGAGTCCATGAAGGAGAAATGGTGAGCACTGCCTCAGCTCTGGACACATTCCAGCACTTTCTGGTGGTTGTCTTGTCCTATCATGGCTCACCTGGCTCTGGGGTGATGAAATGATGCAGAAACAGAATATGACCCGTTTGGTAAACGAGGACCAAGACACGGATGGGATGCTCTAGTTTCCTAGTCACTGCTCTAGAGTCATTACATTTGGTCAGAAACTCCCAAAGTCTGAATTTTTCTTGATTTGATTTCCATATTTCAATCTAAGAGTACCTCTCAGGCAGATCTTGAGACTGCCTCAGTACCTCCCTGAGTCATGTATCTGTCTGGTCATTAGCATTCCGCAAACAGGAAGTGCTCGATAAATCTTTATGGAACTGAATGAATTGATTGGACATAACCTTGGCAGCCATTAAGTTTACAATATCATCAGTCCTTTGACAACTGTGTTAAGTGGTTTGGACCCATGTGCGTATTTTCTTCCATATGTGTTTGGAAGACATGGCCATAAGCTAGAGCTTCTGGATCAGGCCCCCAAAATGTTTGCGGATACTCATTGTCTGCTAAATTGGAAGGTTCCTCAGACGATATCCTCTGTTATAGTCTCAGCACAACCGATTTACAGATTTAATAAGATGGTACCTGTCACCAGGGATGGGGAACAATTGGCCAGGACCTGTCCCTCTGATGCAAGCTTCCGCTCAGCCTTGTCTTTAGGATCTTCGAGAACATTCATCAGTGTCTGTGTGCCCTTGCAGCTAGCGGGGCCTGGGAGCCCATGGTGGTCCGTGCGGTCGCTGCTGCTGCAAGCTGGGGAGACTTGGCACTGGGTCCTGAAGAGGTTAACCGTCAGGGGACGGCGCTGATCCAGACTCCAGTCCCGG